GAAAGTATAAATATTCTCTGGAGGAGGGGGGAACCTCAGCCTTCAAAATGTTTATGAGAATATCCTGAATTTGTTTAATTATGAGATTTTGATCTTTCCTTTGCTTTCCAATAGAAGAGAAGACTCAAAGGTTTTCAGAGGCTGTTCTAGCCTTGAGATAATTGGTGCCTTTAGGAATTTTAGGAGAGCTTAGGACTAACTACTGCTCTCAAGACACAGTGTAGAAGAGGTTTCAACTCACGGAGCCATAGATTCACCCATCTATTACCCTGAACTTGGGAGATGAACCCATTTGTGGCCTTTCCTGTTGCCTCCCTGCAGACCCATGCAGAGACATTGTTCTGAAAGGAGGAGGTCACGTTTCCAAGACTGCTAAAAGAGTTCCCCAGATGAAAAGACAACTTCCAAGAGCTTTGGTTCCCGTAAGGGCACTGGCTTGGAGCGAGTGGCCAGTTGGAAGAACTGCTCAAAAATACCACTGATCTGTGTATTGTAGAAGAGTACCTATGTTATGGAAGTGCTTCAGAATTTTTCTTCCATTATTTGTGGAATGTAAGTATTCAGTATCTTCAGGTATTGGACAACAGCCCAAATTCCCAAAGTTTCACTAAAACAGAGCCTTTGTCTGAGATCTCATCCCAAAATTTATTATGAAGTGCTTGGTGCTATCACTCAGAGGTGTCAGTCACTCAGCCAGGGCACAGACACAACTCCTGATGCAGAGGGAACTCTTCCCTTCCCCTCTCACCTCCAATCTGTCTCAGGAGAACCAAGAACAGCCACAAGCAAATTCACATTTGCCAACCCACCTGTGGGTGGGCTTCAGCATAACATGTGATATTTCATTTCCCCATGTCAGTGGTGGAAAACTACATGTTTGTGTAGAAAGCAAGCAGCCAATAATCCATATTCTACTTTGAGTTCCTTTGGATGAGTTCAGCTTGTTAGAAGAGGGCTTTTGGCTCTGATAAGCAGAGGAAATGGAAAAGCCCAGCTTGACCTTTATCTGAGATTTGCTTGTCTCCGTCTGTGGTAGGTTTGAAACTTGTGAGTTTTTTGGATAGCTCAGTGGTTGGTTCTGCAGCCATGGCAGGTTTAGGCTCAGCCTGAGCGGGATTCAAGATGAGAAGAGCTGCTAGAAATGAAAGGCCAGATAAAAAGCTTTCTCTGGAGAGTATCCAATACTGCCACCTATGCAAACTGAACTCTGGCACAAAATCTGGAAAAATAGTTGGCTTGGATGTGTCATGCTTCCCTTGTACTGTGGGAAGTCTGTAACCATAGGTGGTATTATTATCACCTCTGCTTTAAATACAACACCTAGCCCAGCTTAGTTTTGTCTACTGTGATAAATTCCAGCTCAAAATGTACATTTGTACACCAAATTTCATCATAGGATCACAGAATGGTTTGGGTTGGAAGGAACCCTACAGCTCATCCTATTCCACCCCCTGCCATGGGCAGGGTCACCTTCCACTATCCCAGGCTGCTCCAAGCCCCATCCAGCCTGGCCTTGGACACTTCCAGGGATGGAGCAGCCACAGCTCCTCTGGGAATCTGAGACATTTTCAAGGTAACTTGAAAAGGCTGAAAGGGCTCACTTTGGGAACGGGACATGTGGCTCTCCAGGCTGTTGAACACACCAAGCATCTTCTTTTCCTGTGGAAACAGCCACAGAACAGGCAGTAATATGAGTAAGTACATGAATGACTGCTCTCTGCATGACAGCAGGGATGAACATGAAATTAAAAAAACCCAAAGTGTTCAAACACAGCACTGGAGAGCAAAGTTACTGTGCTGCTGCTGCTGGCCCTCCAGGCAGGGAGAGAACATAAAGCCATCCTCCCCTTAAGACTGCATAGAAATACAGTCAATACTATTAAACACTAGCATGAGAACTGTGGAAAAGGAAAGATGCCTAGAAGAGAGGCAATTTTTCCAGCCCTTAAACAACACTTTTCAAAAGTGTATTTTAAATAGGCATTTCCTACCCCCACAAATCCAGCTCTGCAGTTAGATGAGTTTGGGATATGGGAAGTTGGAGGCTTTCAGTTCAGACACATATTTAAGTGGATTTTGAGGCTGTTGAAGAAGCCTATATTTCAGGTACTAATATAAATTAAATTCTATTTATACAAAGAAGTTTGTTTCAAACACCCCCTCCCCAAGTTTAAATGTGAACTCCAGCTTAGACTAACAGCTCTTTGCACAGCACTGGCAGCAAAAAAGGGATCTTTTCAGCAGTCTTCCCCAAAATCATGCAGAAAGATTTCATACATCATTAAGCTTCCAAAGTTCTTGGTTTCAAGATGTGCATGACAGTAACATATTGATAAATTTTTACCAGGAATTTCAATGCCCCATGAAAAGACACCATAGACAGAATGAAAGATCATAAAATATTCCCATCACTTTTCCAACAGCACAGTCATAGCCAACATTTTCATCCACTGTTTCAGCAGTGTTAACACAGCACCCCTTGGTTAGTGAAGAGAGCAGCCAAAATACACCAGTAAATTCCTTGCTAAGATTATATTAAAAAATACTTGCTGAATAATAAAAGAATGCTAATGATTAACAGAAAAAGTGACCCAAATTAATGACTAGACAGGCAATCAAATAAACTACAAAATGGTTCTGGTTCTAGATAAATCATCCATGATAGAAAAGACCCAATAGAATGAGCTTCTGGAGGTCAGCAGTTGGACCACTATGATTTCTTTTGCTGGCTAAAAGGTTATATATGAGAAAGCACTGTTTGATTTCCAACTCTAGGTCTCATTTTAGACTGAATTTGCTCAGTGGCAGACATCTGAACACCCTAAAGGCTCTCGGGCACACAACCAAGTTAGGAGCTACTCTAGGCAAACTAAGATGCAGACTGACACTGACTGAAAACTTTTTTTTTCTAAACTCTTAGTAAAAGTATGGTCAAAATTTTTAAAGCATCTCTGAGCCTAGGAGGATTAAATGATTTGTATTACCTTCAATGTATTTTAGTCTCTGAAGATGCATAAAGAACAGAACACTTAGTGTAGCTCACTCATTTTCACTTTTCTTCCAAACACGATTATTTTTGGATACCCCATCTGAGCTAGCTTAAACTTCAGGGAATATTAGTCACAACTGTAGCTAAAAACTTATTCTAAGTATGGTGTTGCTTCCTTCCCTAAATCAGGACAAACACAAGATTTAAAAAATGAGCAATTCTTGGCTAATGACACCTGGTCTCAACCCATACCTCAGAGCATTCCTAGTACATTATAGCAGATACACACAATGACTGAAAATAATATTTGCAAAAACAAAAGGAAACCAAGGCTCTTTCCATTTCCTGGCTCCTGTTTCTGTCTCCAGTAGGAGCTGGTTATTCATCTGAGTTGCTGGTCACCAGGATTCCTAGACATTTTACAGCTCCTTAGTCTGTAAAGAACTCAATGAGATGTGAAACAGGTCAAGAATTTATCAACAGCTTATGGGGTAACCTTTCATCAGCCTCTCAACTTCACACCTTTTTTATATATGTTATATATATATTTATGTTTGGCTTGCAGCAAAACAGGTCATGTTTAGTAAAAAGCAGATTCTGAGACATTTTGCCAAGTCAGTCATTGGACAGATTTCCACCCAAGCTGTAGTTCCCACACTGCTGTTCATTGGAACAGGAACTCCAGTTGTCCTGCCTGATGTAGATGCTGACCCCTGTATTCACTCCCTGGGGTTTTAGAATGTTCAGCTGGATGGGGGAGGAGAAGCAGCCCCACACTGCTGGCACTTTCCAGGCAGAGACATGAGAGGTACAAAACCCACACTGAAACTCCTTCAACACCATTAAAGTCATTGTTAGATGATATTGAAGGGCAAGACTGACTCCAGCCCTGTGCACCACCAGAAAAATAACGTGTTGAAACCTCCCGAGGCCCTTACACATCTTCTGCAGGTTTCAGTGTCCCTTGTGCTCCCAGGCTGAGCCTCTGGCTGTGCCCTGCAGGGAGTGGTGGCAGAGGTTGTCCCCTTGGGCCCACACAAACAGAGCCACATCCCTGCAGCCCAGGGAGGAAACGTCTGGAGCCTCCAGGCTGAGATGGGGCATTTCAGCCATTCACAGCAGTCACCTACTGAGCCTGTGTATTTAAGGACTCAGTAAATAACTACTCAGGGCTTGGTTTTTTCAAACATACCAATGGTATTTTCATCAAAAGACCCTTTTTACAGAAATAGACGAAGGAGAAAAGAAATATTTATTCAGAGTGTTTCAGGGCAGCGTCACTGGCTGGTGTTTTATGGTAAATGATTAGGGTGTTCTGGGACAAACAGACCTGGTGGGCCAGACTTCCTCCTGTCCTTGAACTGGGACAGGTGCAGGAGGAATAACCTGTGCCCTGTCTGCTCAGGGCCACTCAAGGAGAAGGGATTTTTCCACCCAGTCTGCTTGAGAATGCCCAGAGTCACTAGAGCACAACATTGTCCCCATCATTGTGACTCTCTTTTTGCCATCTCGTACTGAACCTTCCCAAGAGGTGTCAGAAGTGATGGGTTCTCCCTCACACCCTCCACAACTTCTGAGCTGCTGGGTCACACAAATATGCAGCTTCTCTTTTGAAAGAAAAGCTGCAGACACATCTGTGTCTGGTATTCAGTTACATGTTCTAGGCCCCAACAGAAGGGCTTCTTACCAATCTAGCTCAGAAAAGTTTCTGAAAAAGGAGAAAAAAGTTGTTCTAAGAGTAGGCCATAACCTTTCATTTTATTTACAGAAGGTTCTTCCCTAGTTACCATTCCTATCTTTGGGCAGGAATTTTAGGTGGTGTCTCTTTTAGGAGCACTTAGGAAATACCCCACTAGCTCTGCAGTCAGCAGTTCTTTAAGTCTGCCTGCTACATCAGATGCTGGGAAACAGCAAGAAAGGATGGATCCAGTTGGACTAACACTCTGAAAGCTGTTCCTACCAGGACCTTTCTCACAATTGCTCAGCCAGCCTGGAATAATACTGCTCAGAAGTGACTCATGTGATGGCATACAGTCAGTAAGGCTGGGGCCCTTCCTGCAGGGATACAAGGCCATGCTTGCCCTGTTCAAAGCAGGGAGAGATGTCACCAGATCCAGTGAGCAAGCAGAGACCCGTGGCCAATTGTGCAGAAAGGGGCACTTAAACCAGCCAGCAACTCACTCTGCTCTCAGGAAGGCACACAGTCAGCCAGCCTGACACTGGCAGCAAGGTCTGGAAGCTGCAGTCATGCGAGCAATCCTCCACATACATATTTTTTGGTTGATCCCAACAGCTGAATTTTGAGCTGTGCGTTAGGATTGCAGACCAGACTCCTGCATTGTAACCCCCTGTATAAAACAGGGGCTCCAGGGAAGTCAGAACCTATAGAAATGTGCACGCTCTGGAGCTCAACATGTTGCTTGTAAGCCATCCATTTTGGAGGTTTAACCTCTGTCACCCCAAGGACAGAGGCACTCTCTGTGTGACTCAGCCCAAGCAGGTCACCTCATTCAGTGACAAACACCTCATCCTATAACAAGGCACAGAAGTTCCACTGGGGACTAGTAAAGAACACTGGTCCAAGGAAAATGCAGTAACATGGGCCTGGCATCCCAGTTTGGCTCATCTCACTTGACAGACTGCTATGAGTTACACAACTTTACTATGAAAGATCACAAATGTTTATATCCAACAGATTTCCCAGCACTAGCAGCTAAAGCATGGCAAGACTCCTTTGCTCTACAAGTGTCCAACAGCAGCAAATAATCATTCAAGCCTCTCCCAGTTGAGCTTTAAGGCACATTTGGACAAAGATCCCTCCAAACTGTCTGTAATAGATTGTTACTTGTCCAAGAAGCATCCTGAAATCACTCACACCAGTAAGAAAAAAGCCCCATGAGGCAGTGGGCATCAGATTTCAGCCTACTCACTCCATGATGGGATCTTTATAATGTTTGTACAAGTCTCTCATAGCTGAAGTCAGCCACTGCACAGTGAGCACCTGCTCACAAGCCAGGTTTAAATGTAAACTAAATCTAAGTGGGAAACCAACTACTTGATTTGGTCCTGGGATAGGTAAGAATCTGGGTTATGCACTCAAGAATTGCAGGGGGAAAAGAGATGTTCAGGTGGCAAGCAAGACCAACAGATGATTCTATCCAGATTTCCTGAGGATAGGTGGTTATTACTGACTGTTTCATGCACTGTACAACACAGAGCCTTCACTCCCATGTTACACTTTGCCATGTGGTTCTTGCATTTACAAACTGGCCTGATTTAATGCACAAAATGGGGTTAGGGTTTCTCTGGAAAGCACTGTAAATCTGCTCAGAACAGCATTTCTGGGAAACATAGACAAACACTGGGCCAAACTCTCTGCTGGCCCAACTCCACTGAAATCAGAGCAGCAGCAGATAATTCGGCCATACATTCTTAGAGCGTCACTGCTCAAAAATCTCTCCCAGATGGGAACAAAGAAACAAACAAGAGATATTCTCATTAAGAAGAAATCAGAGAAATTTATTTAATCAGAGATAGAAGTGTTCAACTCCTACCTCTCACTATATCAAGAGTTTCCCAAATAACCATTGGTTGACACTACAAAACCTCTGAACTTCAGTGGAACTAGGAAAGAGAAACAAACAAATGAAATGGAGGTGCTGTCAAGGGGAAAACAATAAATTGCTTTCCTCAAAGCTAATTTTCCTTTTTTTAGGAGACCAAATTGGTCATCGTTTCACTCAACTTAGCAAACACCAGACTATAAAAAAAGGACTTTAAAAGCAAGGAGAAATTGCTCAATATACCCAAATCAGTGTAACTACAAGAAACAAGACACTTTAGAATTAGTGCTGCCAATTAGAACAACACAATCTTTCAGTCAAAGGCCAACAAATGACCACATCAGTTCTGCTAATCTTTCTGATACCATCAAAAAGGGGGGCAGTTCATCTTCCCTGCCCCAGCAGCTACACTTCTTCCAGAGAAGGTTGTGTCATTCACGGGAAGGGAAGCAGGACATTCCTGGCACCACCATGAGCATTTGGAAGAGTTGGCTCGTGCCTCAAATGAGTGGTACCACAACTTTGTGGTTGATTGACACTTCTATAATTAAGTCACAATTCACCTCAAAGAGAAAATGCACAATATTCATCAGGTAAAAGTCCCCCAAGACCTGTAAACTATTCACATACCTGCTAAATCCACTGGAAAAAATGCTCAGAGCATCTGGGGGAAACCAATATGCCCCTTACCTCATAAAAATGTGGAGATGAGAACAGAACATATTCCAGCACCTTCTGCCTTCTCTGTCCACGCAGGGCTTGTCTACTCCCAAACTGGTGTCCATAAAGCATCCAGCACTCTGACAACATCCTTCACATTAGAGGAAGCTGCCACTGGTACGTGTAAGACATGCCAGTAGCAACAAGAATTTGGATGCTTTAGCACGTTTGAAATGGCCAAAAGATACACTGAAGTTGTTAATTTTTATGTTTGCTGTATCACCAACACCCAGAATATTCTCTCCTGTGGAGCAATCCACCAGATGTGCTCAAACTCTCTCCCATTTTAACAGCATCATCCCCACACTTTGGGAGACATTGAGCAGATCTGAGTGTATCTGAGGCCTGAGGTGCCATGAGGTATCTTGGATTCCAAGCTGCACGAAGGCTCCTGGCTGTAGCCTCAAGGTTTTGCTGGAAGACCCACGGATTATGACACCTCATTGTTCAAATGAGGGATATCTTTCAAAGGAAAGGGTTCCAGACACAGATGCAACTGGAAACAGAATGTCATCACAGGGAAGAGATGCAGGCTGAGAATATCCAGCCAAAAGATTTGAGCTCATTTCAACCTAAGTTCTGAATCCTTCGGTGCCTTTCAAAGTTTTCACAAAACTGTTTTTGGTACTGATGGGGTTTTGGTTTACTTCGCTTTTCAGTGCCTGGATTCAGTTTCAGTTAGAGTATTACAGCTCTAAAAATCCCCCTTCAAGACACCACTAAATGAGTTTTGAAAAAAGAGCTGACCTCTAAAAAAAAAGGTTTAAAAAAATAGAGGTTTCATTAGTTATGGTGGTACCTTAGCACTGCATTTGCCTTTGTGTAATTCCAAACAAGCACCAGGGCAGCACTTCCTTCCCCCTCTGTCTTTGATGGAAGAGATTTCCCTTTCCTCCCTTTTGGGCACAGAATTGCTGCCATAGAAATTAATCACCAGAGTCTCACAGTGGTTATCAAATTTTATATATAAATTGATGATAGAACTTGAATAGCTTCAAACACTTGCTATTCATTGTGAATTATTCTCCACCTTCTGATTTAATGAGCATGTGTGACAGCTCAATCAGCTCCAACTGAGACACCTGCACTGTCCCTCACTTTATCCAACAGCTCTGGTGAGGCAGCAAAGCAGCTGGACATGGAAAAATATCCACTAGTAAGTCCTTGCATTTCTCAAGAGTTATATGAGGCTTCATTATAAACCTTGGAGGTTATTAGAATTAGTTGATTAATTTGTCAAATATGAGCTACGTGAGCAGTTTACACACTCTTTCTTGAAAATTATCCTTAAGTTCTTATTTTTCCAACAAGAAATATTTGGGAAGGACAAGTAGGGCAATCTATTCTGCTGGAATTATGAGATTTAAAAAAGTTTTATTTGTACCTAAGATGAAATAAAGAGATATTAAAATAAACCAAATATTATTAAGGGTTAAGATTTTTACTGCTAAGTATGTTTGTTCTCATCCCAGTTGTGGAAAACTTGCCTCTTCTAGCAAGCAGTGAAGTTCCAGCAATAGAAGCCAAAGGCAGTAGATGAATTCAGCTAAGCCCTGACTCCCCAAAGCTGGTTTTGCTCCACATCTGCCTGGATTTCTCAAGGTAATCTCTGACCCCTCAACACTCCACAGTATATCCAACACCATGCAATAGCTTCCTTTTCCATTTTAAATTGGAAGCACTCATATTTGGACATAGGCTAAGCAAGGTGAGATTAAATCCCTTGATTCAGAGTTAAGCTATCTGATAGCATTATTATGTATTTTTTTTCAGATTCAAAATACTGCCTGCATCCTCTACATGAGAAAATCACTTTCACCTGCTACAGCATTTTTTACCCCTGAGGAGCAGCCTTCTATTTAAAATACAGCTAAAACTGAGCACTAAATAAATTTATCCTCTTACTGTTCTCTTGGATAACTGTGCCTTTTTCAGAATTTTTTTGGTTTGTTTTGTTGTTACACAAAGTACACCCACTCTGGAGGGATGTGTCAGGAAATTTCACCCTGCTGAAGTCCTTTATTCTGACATTTGAACCGAAGACACCAAGATCTCCCAAGTAAAGTTTTATTCCAAATCCATCTTACCTAGCAGTCAAAGTCTGGAGGTTGTAGCTGTTTGTCTGCTTTTTTTCTGAAAAGTAGAATTTAGCTCAAAAACTGAAAAATAAGGAGGGCAAAAATCCCAAGCTCATCTTTAGGCTGGTACTGCAGTCTGTGACATTTGACATTACTAAGAACAGTCAAGCTGAACTCAGAGCTCTCAGCCACATCTTATCACAACTGAAATCAAAAGTATTGAGAGCTGATGCCAGTCTGGAAACTTCTCCCCCAAAAAATGATGTGGTTTCAGAGACTCTAGCTGTGTCTTTTAAAGTATTTTATTTATTTTTTTCCTATTGATTACTTTGCTTGTCACATATGTAGCTTGTTCACTTCTTGGGCACTGTGCAGTTGGGCTTTTTGGGTTTTTTTTTGATAAATCTTAACCCAAGGGTTTTGCAAGCAGATGGGTAGAAAGAAATATGTTCCTGACAGCCAGATGAGATCATCCTATGTCGTGTGACCTCTCACCCTCCCAGATTCAGACAATACCCTATAGACTTTGAATGTACCCATGTTGTGCAAGGGTGTATCACAACAGTTCTCAGAAAAGGGGGAATCTGGAACATCTCCTCTTTTCTTGCACTCAGACTGTTGATATCTTGTTGAAAAAGGACATTGTGAGGAGAGACATGCTGCTCTACAAGACAAGGGGGTAGGCAACAGCTGGATGGTATCCCTGCAAATCCAAACATTTAGGAACAGCTTCACCCAAAGAA